TGACAGTGAAGGGGTAATTTCTTTAGAACTCTCAGTAACTTGTTCAGAGTAATGCGCCTACTTTGTAATTCATTCACTCCTTACAGCAGAACAAAAGGCTGCAGGGAGAAGTGCTGCATTTAATCCCAAATTACTCGAATCTGAAGTCAGCCAGCACTGGACTGTCAACCACAAGGTTGGCAGTTCAAACCCACCATCTGTTCCTTGGAAATCCTATACAGGGTTGCTATGAGTTGGAACCAACTCATCAGTATTAACAACAAAATCAACCCTGGGACTCTTGGCATAGTGCTTGTGGGATCAGCGCTGGATTGTGAACCACAAATTTGTCAGTTCAAAGCCCACTTTTGGATGGAGGAGGAAATGATGCATGCACTAGAGGGTAGACACGTGTTGACATGGGTGATGGGCAGGCAATATATAACCAGAGGGAGGTCGGCAGAGGAAACATGGGGTTGGCGGGAGACTCAGGAAGGAATGCAGTAGTTAAAGTGAATAGAGGTCAATGCATTAACTATTGGTGCATGGATGGGACAGCAACCATGTAATGAAGAAAAATATATGATTTGTTGAACGTAAAACTGATGATCTGTTCTGTAAACCTTCAATCGATTCACAATTAAAAAGTTAAAAAAAAGATTGGATGCATTAGACACTAATGACCTAAGAGACCAGAAAAGTTGTGGTATGGAATGAACATCATGCAAGAAAAAAGCAAAAGGTCATTAAGAGGACAAGGAAGGAGGGAAAGACCAAATGTATGTCAGAATAGGAAAAAAAAGAAACCCCAAACAGAAAGCCCCCCAGCTGCAAATCAAAAACCCTACACAGGGTTTGCTATGAGTTGGAAGCAACTCGACAGCATTTAATAAAAGCAAAAGTAGTAGATATCAATTAGCATTCCAGTCTTAATATCTTAAAAAACCCCATCTTACATTTTCATATAAAATCATATTCCAGAGAGCATATTTACCTGCTTAGAAAAAAGACACTTAGGACTATCTGGAAATGCACACGGTGCTCTGTTCTGGATGAGGAGAACTCGGGAGTATCCAAACAAAGGTACAACGTATGCTAAACACATCCCATGTCTACATCTGTGGGACCTCAACACAGACTTCTCCAAACCACATGCCAGAGCCCTCTGAACATTTTATCTTACATTTGACAGTGTGCAGAACTGAAGTTCAAGGAATTCACTTTATGAAAGAAAAGAACCTGGAAGTTGCAATAATTCACTCATAAAAGCTTCTCAACACAGTGTGAGGGGGCAAGGGAGTGGAGGGACAGGGATCAGGAAGAACTCCCATTTTTGGTAGGCAACACAGAACTCAAGAATAGTGTTTCCTTTCAGCAGGAAACTTAACTTATGCAGAATAAAGAGCATTACCATTTCCCCAAATTTTAATGTGCAGGAAATAAAACTTATTGACCAGAAGCATCCTGGCAATCAAATTTTCTTTGCACTGAAATAAGCAGTGTACAAAGGCTTCCTCACAAGTCACTAAAACATGACCAGGTAGGAAAAACCGAGTTAAACATTACCAGGATTTGGACCAACGTACATGATAGTCTCAGAAATTAGTTTCTTTTCAGCAGACAATATATATCACCGATTGGTTCAAGGAACTATTGTTGTTGTTGTATGCTGTTGTATAGCAGCCCTGTACAGGGTTTCCGAGGTCTGCTGGTGGATTTGAATTGCTGACTTTGAGGTCACCAGTCCAGTGTTTATCCTACAGCGCCACACCAAGATGACACGCAAAGAAAAGGAAACACACACAAAGTGAGAGGATTTCTTAAATTCAGTATTTTTGGTAGAATAAGATTATTTCCAAAAGCAAACTCCATGTACTGCTGTAAAATTTGGGAAGAAAGTAACATCAGTGCACACTGCTCACATCTCCTCATCCATGACATTTCTGACAGCGGCTGTGGTGTTCAATGCACACTTAGAGCAAATTAATTTTTTTTCTCGACAAAGACTGTATGTTTTTTCTGAATCCCTTTGAAGTGGTGGTTAAATTTAACACAGTGGTAACCTCAGTGAGCTTTGACAAGGCAAAGAAACTAGCATTATTGAATAAATTCATGCCACCTTAAAAGTATCCATGTCTTGGCATATCTGTCTTCAATAGGTACTCAGAATGGCACAAACTTTCAAAAGAAAACCTCATGCAAGCAATTAAACTTGAGCAGATGGTTCTTTTGAAATGAGAATGATGTCTGATTTCAGAAATCCAATCAAAACAATACCTATGAAAATGAAGATTCTGGTGTCTGAAGCATGACATGTTTGGTAAAAAGGTCTGGGAAAAAAAGTATAAAAGGGAAAATTGTTTTTTTTCAGGAAAGTATGAACATGGCTTATAACGAAAAACTCAACATTCCAATTCTGCACTTGTTGCTGTTGGAAGCGCCATCGAGTCAGTTCCGACCCATGGTGACCCTGTATAGGGTTTCCGAGGAGCAGCTGGTGAGCCTGAACCACCGACCTTGTAGTTCAAACGGCTTTGTGGTCTGGTGCATTAATCCATAGCACCACACCAAGACTTCTCTGCACTTATTACCTTCTGTGAAATTTTCAACAGTAAGGGGAATAAACTGGGCTCAGCAACGAAAACAACTCTACAAAGGGCGCGCTATTACTCTTGTGGGATCAACTCTGCAGAATGGTATTTTATTTCATAGACAGCATGGACATCATACATATCCATTATCAGTGCCTTGAAAATTAAAAAAACAAAAACAAAACCCCAAACAAAACAAAAACAAACTTTAAAAGTTAGCAGCAGTTTCTGCAAGTACAAAAATACACATTTATTACATAACATATGGTAGTAAAATTTGTCAAGATATATTATACAAACTCAAAGCATTTTAGATAAAGCATCAGTCTAATATATTATAGGTTGATGGAGTATAATAAAATGACATGGAGTTTGCCTTCAAATTATACAATATAATACTTTACAGCAATATTACCAAACTATTCACATTGAATTATTATAGGAGCATCTAGAGGGACACAGAGTAGGAATGGTTTATTGAAGAACCTCAGCATCTATTTTCTTCTATGCTTCAAACTGGGTGGATGACTTTTTTCTACCTGCTAGTATGAAAGTAAAAAGACGAGAGCTATTAGTTTGGTAAGGAGAGAAGTTAATTTTCTTCCAGAAAGATACTCCAAGTCATAAGAGCTTCATCCACATATTGCAGTTCTGACAACGGTACTCCCGAAGGGTCAGAGGAGTCCCCATTGACTTTATACATTAGACCACAAAAAAAGAAAGATGTACACGGATACTTAGGAGTGTTAGTATAGGCGTGCTTCGTTAGAAGGTGAAATCCACTTCACACCTGTGTCATGAAGGAGCCCTTTGGACCCAGAGTCCTAACAGTTGATGATCGTGCTTAGGGCAAAGTGGGCCATGTCCCCGAGAGGTAGTGGCACTTATAGCTAATACTGGAAAGACTTCATCTTAAGAAAAAAACATCATTATCTGTGTTTTTCTGTAATGAAAAATCTCAACCTTTAGGGTAACAGGCAAACAACACTTGAAATGTTTCCTGGGGAGCGATAAAATAATTTAGAATAAGCTATCGTTCATGGGCAACACGTTCATGTGATGGTAGAGTCACGTGGGAGACTGAAGAGAGCCAATATATGGGCTCTTAGCAACTTTCATAGGTAAGTAGTTCAAATGAAGGAAGATGCAAACCATTCCTGGTGTTATTCCTTTGGCAAGCTCTAGTAATCCATCCCTAGTGAGGAGATGCGCTTTGAGAAATCTTTAGGGGAAGGGAAAGAAGTGTCCACTGTTATGAAATAAACCAATGGGGTACAAACCATCCACAAGTCATGAATTAGTTAGGGCAAAAATAGGGAAACACATCTGGAAGTGAGAAAACCCAAAGTCAAAGACTGTCAAACAAGGCCTGGCAGCCCCATCAGTGGGATTCTATTCTGTGACTTTGTATAATCTGCTGATCTCTAAACAAGCTGTCTCTCTGAATTGCCAAATGGGTGATTTATCATTGTTCTGAGCTAACTGTAATCTAAGAGGCAAAGCTGCAGAGAATCACTTCAGCAAAAGGGAGCCATGCTTGGATCAATTGTTGGTAACAGTATTCAGGTAACTGTCAGGAGGTTACCTTTTACACAGAAAAGCATGTTCTACTTCTAGAGCATGTTCCAAGCACAGGCACTTCTGGAAAGGCCACTGAAATGAGCAACCAGTTCCTTCTTGACACTTGTTTCTTGGGGCCTTTGGAGAGCAATGCAAGACTCTAGGGTGAAAATATTAATCCAGCAACTAAACCCGCAAAAAACCAGTATCATGGTAGCACAGTTCTTGAACCACTCTACTTTTCTCTAGCCTAACTGCATCAGTGGGGCTGGTTCCTAGAATAATCCTGTGGGGATACAATACTACTACAAGATGCCACAGAAATGGCCACTGGCTTGGATGCAGAGAAGAGTTTCACATGATTTCCTTCATTACCAGACAAGCTTGCCTTAATGCTTTGATCAGTGGCATTTTTTCTTGCCTACTTATAAAAAATACTCCATGGGTTGTGGATGGTTTCATCTGTGCCCTAACTCCTCTCTTCCTTATCCCTAATCTTTCATCATGAGATCCTGGTTCTTCTCAGGTAACTTATCTCACAGAATGTTCCCGTAAGACCTATTTCCTCAACAGCAGCTTACTTTCTCTAGCCCACAGTTGGTATTCTCTAAAAATGTTATGACAGGACATATCCCATGCTCTAATAAGGAAAAGCCTCCCAAATATTTAGGTGACCGCATTTTTGAGAATAAGCTTTCTGCCAAGTAATCTCACACACAGAGAACCCTTTTGTTGTCCTTAGTATTAGTGATGATTACCCTCGTGCTACCTCTCCCAGGTATCTTATACCAAAGGGTCATAATTAATTATTGTCTCTACGTTAAAATTAGTCCAGCTCCTGTTTCCGGAGATATCAGATTCTTACCGTGGCTAAATGTCTTTGGTTAAATGTCTGTCTGCATCATCACAAGCTACAGCAGGCCCTGAGTCTGGGCTGGACACATCATCCACAGTCAAAGAGCTGGATGAGGACCTTTCACAAGGGAGAGCACCAGGAGAGCACTGACCACCACCCTCTACTTCCTTGTGTGACTTTTTACAAAACTTGAGCCTGTCTTCCAGGACACTGAATGGAGAGCTACCATGTGTTTCTGAGTCCTGGCAGTGGTAAGAACCATACCACTCGGTTGTTTGTCCAGCTCCAAGTCCTTCAGTTGCCCTCAGGCGCATGTCTTTTGGTCTCTCTTGCTGTAAGTTGGCTTCTGGGAAGCCAGAAGCATGTGGAGGGGGCTCTGTGGGTCCTCTCAGAGAACTTAATTTCTTTTCCTCTGGTTGAGATGCCCTTGTCTTCTTTTTGAGGGACCAGTTTTTCAAATTGGCCACACCATTCCTCAACCATGTGCTGGGGTGAAGGGTTACAGAATGCATTTGTGAATGCCACTCTAGAGAGTCCTTTTTTGGATAAGCTAGGTGGCTGCTTGCCTGCCCTGGTGAGGAACTGTGCGTGACAGAAACAAAGCTGGGACTGCTACAGTCAGAAGAGAGCTCGCCTGGTTTCCTCTGAGCCTGGAAAGTGCAATCTATTGGAGAGGAGGTTTCAGTGGGTGTAAACACGGAATGCTCAGAAATCTGAGAAAAAGCACTGTCCTGGGAGCTCACAGAGGAGCCAGACGGGGACGTGCCTGGGGAAGATAAACTGGAATAACTAGTCCTGGGGCAAATGGTTAATCTTGGCGGTAAAACCTTTTCAGTGTTCTGGCTGGTGGCACTACTCTTGCCTACCTCGATCCCCATGACCAAACTCTGATTGATAAGTTTTTGTCCTTCTATCTGCAAAGACTTGTGTCGCTTGAGGTACTCTTCCTCTCCATGCAAGGGACCAGCTTCGCAGCTGGTTTTAGGATGTTTCTTTGAGTAAATGCCCCTGAGGTAAGTCAGCTTGCAGTGCTGGTCATCTATGTTGGGTTCTGAGCAGCGCCGGTGCACCCTTGAACTCTTGAGGCCATCTGCTGTGTGCAGTGGGGAGGGCGCAGGTGGGTCTGCAGCTGTGGGCTGGGTCCTGCAACGATCTTGTGAAGACGCGCCACTGTCCGAAGCCACAGATATGGACACTGGCTTGGATTTAGGAAAGTGTTTCCCATGATTTCCTTCAGCAATGGACAAGCTTTTCTTCTTAACATTTTGATGAGTGGCATTTTTCTTGCTTGTATCAGTGCCTATGACTAAACTCTGCTTCAAACACACCTTCCCCGCTTCCTGGAGGGGCTGAGTCTGTTTCGTATAGTGCTCATCTTTTTGAGAGAGAATTGCATCACAGCTGGACTTGCGTAGCTTTTTCTGGTAAAACTCCCTGAGATAGGAAAGTTTTGAGTCTAGAGAGTCGATGCTAGGCTCGGAACAGCGCCGATGGCGCCTGAGGCTCTTGGGAGCATTGGGGGTAGCTGTGGATAGGTAAGTGGGTGTACATATGCTGGAGGGGGCTCTGGCAGGGTCCCGCAATGGGACCTTAGTGTACGCCACTGAAATGTTCACCGGCTTGGATTCAAGAGGCCGCTTCACTTGAACGTCTTCATCTTTAGAATGGTCTAAGTCAAAGTCGCTCAGGGTTAAAAGGCCTTCTACCTCGGGCTGGTCCAGGTCATAGTCACTGAGGGTTAAGACAGAATCCATGCTTCTGCTACCCTGACCCAGTTTCTTTATAAGGTCACTACAAGGAGCATCCACATCTTCATTGAGCTCGTTTTCCAAGCTGTCATAGGAGGAGTCATTGAGCTGGAAGCAGGAAATATCTGTCAAAAAAAAAAATCAAACCATGATTAATCGTTTTTCTGCCTTACACAATCACTTATTTAAAAAAAACAAGTCAGCATGCTTAATTTAATTATCCTTTCATGTAGAGTGTTTTAATTCTTACTTTTAAGAAAGAACTTTCACAATCTTCCCAATGGCCAGTACAGAATAAAAAAAAAGAAAAAAAAGTGGTGTATAGTAGATTTATCTCAGTAACTGAGAAAATGGTCTTTTCTTAAGTAAGATTTCCTTAGAGCAATGAGGGCATGTCATAATATACCAAGAAATGGTAAAAACAAAACAAAACAAAACAAAACCCCAAAACTATGAAGGAACTAATACTAGGTGTACACAGTATTACTGATTGAATTGTGTCTCCCCAAAATATGTGTTATAAATCCTAACCTGTATGCAGGCGGTTTTTTTAAAGATTGTGTTGTCTTTGTTATGCTAATGAGAGAAAAGCAGTATAGGGTGAGTACCTTGAGTCAATCTCTTTTGAGATATAAAAGAGACTGAACAAGCAAGTGAGAGAAGCAGAGATGAAGGAGGAGAGCTGCCACATGAACAGAGGAGCAGAAGCTCAGAAGAGGTAAGGGCCATTCCGTAAGGAAGGAATGGAAGCAAGCCTTTCCCTCGAGCCAGCACTCTGAATCTGCACTGCTAGCCCCCTAAACTGCTGGGAAAGAAACAGTTTGTTCAAGCCACCCACTTGTAGTATTTCTGTTACAACAGCAATGGATAAGGAGACAGAACTGAGTGGGGCTGCTGCTCATCATCAGAGTTCTCCAGCTTCAACAACCAGAAATGTATTCCTTCACAGTGTTGTTGTTGTTGTTATGTGCCATCGAGTCGGTTCCGACCCATAGCGACCCTGTATAGGGTTTCCGAGGGTGTAAATCTTTACGGGAGTA